AAAAAAGAAATTGGTCTTTCTGGGTTTCCATGGTGACCAGATGTACTGAAGTCCTATCCTGTGCTGAAGCTGCAGCCCCATGTGTGTGTCGGGAGGGGGGGGGGGCAAGCTGAAAGATTCTGGGGTAATCCCGTCCCCAAACCAGTTCAGGACGGTACAATCACACGTCAGGGTCACCGGATCACACTCTCACTGTGTGTGTGTGTGTGTGTGTGTGTGTGTGTGGGAGAGGGGAGGGGGCGTTTGCAGTTGGCTGTGCTGGTCTGTCTGCCCCCCCCCCCCCCCCAGCTGAGCCAGCACAGATGTGCGAGCACGTCATCTCCACGCCGAAAGGGTGCGAGGTCACCGACTCCCCACACACACACCGACACACACACTCAGAGCCCTGGGACACGACTGTTTTGTATTGTTTTTCATTATGGATATTTTTTTTCCCCCCTCGATTTGGTTCCAAAATGCCACCGTTTTGGACAGTCTATATAATAGTCTGATGCTTAGCACCTCTACTTTAATTCCCCTTTTGTTTAAAGGCAGAAATAGATGGTCGTGTTACACGTTTGACTACTCCCTAAATATGAGGGCAGAAATCTGGAATTTGCTCTCTGAAAAAAAACGTTTTTGTACAGTTGTCTTTCCAATAGCCTTTTTACTCTTAAATGGCCGTGGAGCGGAGGTTTCCCCTCTCGCCGTCGCTCTGACGCGCTGCATTTCCTGCCTGAACCGCACTCGCCACCCCCAGCACCCACACCGGCCGCTTCCATCCCCCTTTGTTGACCAAATCCCGTCGCCCATATTTGGGATGAGGCCCGTTTGAAAGAGAATATCGCCGACCATGTGGGGCCACGCCACCGGCTTCGTGTGAGGAAGCCGGCACTCCTTTCAAACTCACCCGCTCTTTTTCTATCTCCTCTTCCTCCCCTGACCAGTGCGCGGATGTCGGCCGGGGAAGATCGTCCAGATGACAGAGGCGGAGGTGCGCGGCCTCTGCATCAAGTCACGGGAAATCTTCCTCAGCCAGCCAATCCTGCTGGAGCTGGAGGCTCCGCTCAAAATCTGCGGTGGGTCCCGCCTCCGTCCTCCCCGTCCCGCGCTAAAGGCTGCCAGCAGCTGTCTGATTCTCCATCCTCCCCCCCTCTCTCACACACACACACACACACACACACAAACACACGCAGGCGACATCCACGGACAGTACACAGACCTGCTGAGGCTCTTTGAGTACGGCGGCTTCCCCCCGGAGGCCAACTACCTGTTCCTGGGCGACTACGTGGACAGAGGGAAGCAGTCCCTGGAGACCATCTGCCTGCTGCTGGCCTACAAGATCAAATACCCCGAGAACTTCTTCCTGCTGCGGGGCAACCACGAGTGCGCCTCCATCAACCGCATCTACGGCTTCTACGATGAGTGTGAGCACCCCCCCCTCCATTCTTTCCACCGTTAATAGTTGGTCTTAGTCATTCTGGCTCCCTTTTTATTATTTGCATTGATAATGGTACTAAGAGCCTCTGGTATCTTTCTTTTTTTTCCATTTTTGGTTTATTAGAAAGTAGCTCTAAAGTAAGTTAGAGTAAGCTCTGTAACTCCTGAGCGGCCCTCTTTTTAAAATGAGCTCACACACCCCGCAGGTAAGCGCAGATTCAACATCAAGCTGTGGAAGACGTTCACAGACTGCTTCAACTGCCTCCCCATAGCCGCCATCGTAGACGAGAAGATCTTCTGCTGCCACGGAGGTATTCCCAAAGACCAACGTGTCTTGTTTTTTTGTTTGTTTTTGCTAGTTCGGAACGTTTTTAGGATTGACTTTTAATGCTTTACTAGCCTGGCGTGATGCGTTCACTGACGGTAATTAAAAAATAAAAAAAAACTCAAAGTGGCTGGGTGAATCAGAAACGGTCACCGTCTGTTTCTAATCTCTGCAGGACTGTCTCCTGACCTGCAGTCCATGGAGCAGATCAGACGCATCATGAGACCCACAGACGTGCCCGACACAGGTAGCCCTCACACAGTCTGTCTGAGCGTGTTTCCAGCCTTGCTGACCAGATAGATAAGATATAAAACATTTTTTCTTGGGTGTTTTTGTTTCCATTAGTTTTATCATCAGCTGTTCAGAACCTTTGGCATGCCACAAGTTGAACGTGGCAGTGGGTTGATGAAAACTTCTCTGATTCTCTACTGAGAATTAAAACTCCCGTTTGCCGTCACACACTGTCCCCTCATCGGATTTAGACAATGAAGTGGGACAAGGAAACTTTGTTTATGAAGTTTGGTCGGCTGGATTTCTTTTTTTCTAAGGAAAAAAAATCCAGTCATTTTCAGCGAGCAGGGGGAAGTGAAGCCACCGGGTCTGACCCCCTCCTCGTTTAAACCGGCCTCCTCTTGTCCTTATAAGGCAATCAGTCCTCAGACAACTGCCACTCGCCGTCTCTCACATCCTCTTCTGTCTTTTCATGGCTTCGCCTGCGTCTGAATGTGAAGGACGCTACACTCGGTGTTCTCTGG